GTGACATCTCACGCCAGGTCATCGCTCGAGCGGAACCTGACTGGGAAACGATGAGTTGGGCGTGGCTCCGAAGGTGACATGAAGGAGATCATCTGAGGAGAGCTTATGAGATATTGTGAGGCCAGCTGAAAAGGACTGCAGTGTAGGGTGGAATGGAGATGTGCTGTTTAAGGCCTATATTCTACTTGGAATCCACTGGAATAATAATAATAATTGTCAATTTGTATCACTGTCTTTCAAAGATGACAGACCTCCTCTACATATCACTAAGTTGCATAGAAAACCTTTCTCTCACTTGTGATAAGAACATCTCCCAGTTTAATATAGGTGTATCAATGGAAAAGTTACACCACATCCCATACATACATACATCTAAATGACTATAAATAACATCCCTTTGCGATCCATTAATGGCTCTAATCCTGTTTTTTAACCTTACCCAAAAGCCTTCAATAGAATTGGTGTAGGTCTCTGTAATGGGATCCACAGAATCATTAGAATGTTTAACTCTGTGGTGAATATATCCAAGGGATGACTAGGAGTTATAACCTTTCTATTCATTTGTGTGTATTATAGATCCTTGTTTTACCAGTCAGGTAATAATATATATTAAAGTGCTTGACTTTCTATCGGCTATCCTCTCGACGAATCCTTCTCGTAGAGAGGTATCATATAAACCTATCACCTAAACATTATTCGCTCGTTCTCGACCGTGGTTTTTTTTAATAAGACAGTTTCATCTACGTGTTATACGACGACACCTTCTCCTCCCAATAAAGAAGGGAGTCTCTCCATTTTCCAGGATGCGATACGCGTGCAGTGCTGGTACCACTGAACTGTTGATACGCGACTATTTTCAGTTTCAGCAGCTGCACCTCATACAGACTGTTTTTAAAGCCCAATAATTACAAATATACAAAATATGGGTTAAGGAAAAAGTGAGATCTGGCAAAAAATGTTCCTACGAAATATTGGAATCATCAGCTCACCTCCTCTGACACTACCTCGTCTCAAAAACAAATTGCACAACGATGCACATGTACTTCAACAGACCTGAAGCTTTTTATAGTCATCACATGTCCGCATGAACAAATCCTTTTGTTTCCTAATCGACTCCATATCTCAGCATTTCTTGAAGACTCGGTCATCATCAAAGTGCAAGCGCACTACGTTAGAACTGGCATTTGACTCGAATCAAGCGAAATAGAAGCTTCAACTCACGTGGATGAAACTCAGACCGCTCAAAGTCAGTGGTGTGGTGCTTAAAGTTCAAATTGGCCCTTTCCTCATAAATTAAGTTTAGTTCATAGTCTACTAAGCAGAGTTGTCATAGGTTATACTACAAGCATCATGCGAATACCACTTAACTGAAACCTAGAGAATTAAATGAACAGAATGACAAGGTGTTCCTAGAGTTAGCTTTCTGTAGACAGAAAGATAACACAAATTAAGAAAGGAAGTCGTAGAATAAATAGGATCAAAAGCCTTTCTAGATGTAACTAATTAATGATACACGTTAGTTAGTCATGAAAAAATAAATTTCAGGACAGTGAAACAGAAGATATAGTTGGGCGTGTGAAATGGTTTTATCAGATTGTTTGCTCTATGTATATCACAAATTGCCAGAGGTTGAAATTTATGGACCATTAGGTCGAGTCCCAGTGACTGTGTATAGTCTACAGGCTCGCCTCGTAACCAGAAGGTCCTGGGTTCGAACCTCAGCGGTGGGTGCGTACTACTGAAGAGTCCTAAACTTGGACGAAACAGTTATCCCCAGTACTCAGTGGTTTTCCAACTTGATGGTCAGCTCGTTATCAAATCTGGAATTGGTTATTCTTCTCATATTCAGAAAAAACAACAAGAAGTATTGCTTGGCGTCTTTTGTTTTTAAGAGATGAAAGCCTGACTTCTTATATATTCAAAGAGAGAAGGAGAGAAAAAGACGGTTATCCGTCTCAAATTCTTTTTGTTGTTTTTTTTCCTAAAACTTTATTTAGAAATCAGTAGTGTTTTTACTCTTGAGGTAATTTGATCACTTTGAGTTTGTTTTCTTTTTTTCTTTTTTTTGTTATTGTCTCGTGAATCATTCATCTCTTGTGACCCACACTTACTTATTGTGATAGTAACTTAGAGACTAACATGTGACAATTTATCAGTTTATCATATATGCTTAGTGATGACGATGATGATTAATCAATCAGAGTTTCATAGTTTCACATTCCTATATTATCTGAATGATAATGAGTGGTCTCATGTGTGTGTGTGTGAGTGTTACTTTTCAGAATGATTTTTATTAGGTGAAACTGAAGAGTACAAAAAGTTATTTATTCGTTCAAGTAGTTGCTATCACTGAAGACTGGACTGACTGACTGATCTTAACATAGAACTTTGCACAGAAGTCCATCATTTCAGTTTGTCACACTCCATGCACCAAATAAAGGGAGAAAAATCGAGATTTGAAAGATCGATAATAAGCAAAAATGTGATAGAGAAAGAATACTAATGTGGTAAAACAATAGTGTCCAATTTTGGATATAGCAAATCACAGAGAGTGAACACAACTAATCATTGAGAAGAATTTTGAGTCATCGTGTCTATTGTCTCCAGTCACTGGTTCTAACCACCCCGAGGACCCCAACAGGTAGTCTATATACCTCCTTACATGGCTAAAACTGACTTTGATGTTTCGGTTTGACCAATACTAGCTAGGGATGCGTCGGTGGCACAAGGGTATGAATGCTCGCCAACCATGCTTCATGTGGCTTGGAGTTCGATTCCCAGTCCACCGACGCACTCCTTTACCTCACTAAGCCAGTAATAAGACTGGTAAAGAGAGAAGGTTGGCCTGTGTAACACACGTCCTAGCCATCTCATTCGATGTAATTTCATAACCTCATCGATTGACTTAACCTCCTTACTTAACACTCTACGCCTAACCTCAATATTACTCATCCAATTATACCACCCAATTAAAGATAAGCATACTGTAATGTTGAGTACAGGTGAACTCGGTGTTTATGCCATTGGTGAGTAGATTGAATGAGGTAAAACACTGTTTTAAATAAATGTATTTTGTAGATCTGATAGGATCTTTCATGTTGACAGGCGAATAAATTAGGTATTGGACATAACTATTCACCTGCATTTAAATAAACTAATAAGATGGCAGTTACTGTCTAAATTTTGTAGGTGATTCCGCTAGGACGGGAATTTTCTTTAGATCACAACTGTCTCCGTATTTTCCACATTACATATCATCTTCATCACATTATATGATTATGGGCGATAAATCGTGCTCGAAACCTGGCCATCAGTAAATATTACAATATAGCATTGTAAGACTTTATCAAAATAAATTTTACCTATAATGGAATTATACTCTACCACAGTGCACAAGTTCTATTCTTATATCAATCAGGAGTTCCATATTAACACATCTTGTGGATACGGATCACAAGATTGATAGAAATTCTGCTTGTACAATTCTATGCAGAGTGCCATGCCTCCGATCATTAAGCATAGCTGAGGCGCGGTCATCATAAGAATTTTTCAGCTCATTCTTTGCGTTCAAAAAATGTTTGTTTCATTTCTCTGCCTCCCATGGCTTTCAACTCCAATTAAGAATAGTTATCCTGATGACACCAGATGATTTTTTTTTATTTGTACTGCTAACACTGTCCAGTACTCCTTGGTTTTCAATCGTTCTCGAATTGTTATATAGGATAGATAGTTCAGGGGGTATCTACGTTCCATGGGGCTGTATGATTATACAGTTAGTAGGCAGATTTAAAACGTTACCTAACACAGTGAAATTTGATAAGAGAGAATTCAACATGGCAAAAAAGACATTTTTGATTTATAATGACAAGTGGAAACAGTTCGAAGTAGGAATGATAAGAGTAATAATAATAATAAAAAAAATAATTGTAGTAATGGGGGCAAGGTACATAGATTAACTAAATAAACAAAATAATTATAAAAAAATAATAATAGTGAATACATAAATGTTTATTCGTCTACGGCCAAAGTAAAAGTAGGGATTGCGCATTCTTCATACACCTGATACCTTACTATGACTATAACGACAAACATTTTAATTGTTTTTCATACAATTATTATTATTTTACGTATTCACACCTTTGTTTCAATTTCCTCACCGGATATAACCTCTTAAAAATCATATATATATATATATAACTAGTGAACTCTCTAGTACTGTCGTATAAAGAAGGAACGTCAGAGGCCTTACGTAGAATTCACAATGAGACTGGAATTAGTCAGGGTGGCATTTAAACCAACCAACCAACCAACTCTCTCAGAGATAAACTTTGTCAGCTTAATGACCCAATAGATCCAATTAGGAAAAATAATACAGGTTATCAAATACCAAGCAATTAATGATTGTGAGGTCAGTTAAATAGCCCAGTCAAACTAGTAGATCGCGGTCTCAACTAGATTATTGGAACATGAAAATATAGCCAGAGCCAGAATGATTGATGCCGTTAAGTTAGGTAACCTAGAAAAAAGCTCAGCCATTGCATTGTATTCATTTGCATGTCACCACCAAATAGAGTGAGTGGGACAGGATGAGAGTAATAAAAAGTAATAAAGTTAGTTGGAAAGACAGAGAGGCTAATCACTAGAGCTTTGTTTATCGTTTCAACACCAAACACGTGCAACCGGAATGATGTAATGCATATACCTGTGGTATAGAAAGTGGCAGCAAATAACTAAGGGAAGTTGGAGAGACAGAGAGAAATATATATATATATATAAGACAAATTGTGAAACTGTGTGACTAAAGTTGATATGCGATTATGAGTGGCAATAATTTGTGCTCGAAACCTTGTCATCCAGTTGTTAATACTGTATCATCATTTAAAATAAACTTATTAGCCTGGAATTACATTCTACCATCCCAGCGCCCAAGTTCTATACTTAAATTAATGAACTCTCATTTATCATTCCTCTCCTCTAATTTTCTTTCTTTCATATTTTAGGCGTTAAGTTATGCAAGATTAAAAGAAGTTGATTTTGAAAGAGCACGTAAAGATTATTCAGCTGCATTGGATCAATTTAATTTATATCGTAAAGATTATTATTTTCGTTGTTTACCATTATGGGCACAAGTTGGTAAAGATTTGGAGACTGTTAGATATACGCGTACACAAACGCTAATCAGTATACTATATGAACGATTACGTGTAGCTATTGATCGTATGAATACTGTATGCGGTGAATTTCAAGCTGTCTCTACGCATTTGAATTCAGATCAGGTAGGTATTATTATTGTTAGCGTTACTTTTAATAGAAGTCACATTAGAAATGTTATTTCACCTTAAGAATAATTCATCTTGAATTTTAATTTTAAACAGCATCATGTTTTGATGCATTACTGCTTCCGGGGAGTTTCCTCAACCATGTACTACTACATCATTCCCATGAAGTGGGAATGTGGGGGCATTGGCGTAAGTATTCGACTTTCAACCGATGGGTTTCAGGTTTGAATCCTTCTCCACCTGATTCAGCCTGGGCATCTAGGGAGTATCATTAGCCTCCAAACAACAAGCAAGGCTTTTATCCCAGTACTGGGTAATTGACATCTAACTAACTAATTATTCTGACACTACCCTTGCGATGAAGTTGTACTATGTACCCATTCGATTTCAACCAGCTGATTCTTTTCAGTTTACCTTGTCATACGCTGTTTCTTTCATGTCTCTCACAAGTTTGTGCTTCGGTGGCACAGCGGTTAGGACTCTCGCCGACCATGCACATGGTCTGGGGTTCGATCCCCTGCCGACGCACACCTGATATCAATTAGTCGGTCTGCGAAATTGGGCTACCGATATCACATGCTGAAAATTCCATACTTGTACCGAAAGTACGGTGTGGAATCAAGCTATAATAAAAAAAATACATAAAAAAACAAAAATAAAAGTTTGTATAAGCAACTTCTAGTTGTTATTGTGGTTATCATCCCTGGATCATAAACTGACTAAAGCAAGGAGAATGTGGGCATTCGTGTGTGGTGATGACAACCCGTAATTTCCGTCAGGAATGCTCATTGTTTCCACTTTGTTTGATTTCATCACCTATGTACTAATAGAATTGACCTTGATTGACTTCAGCGATTTAGGGATTGATTTATTACGAGGGAATAGTCTTGTTGACTTAGAGTATTCGGATGGGATGTTGTCCTCCTAGGTGAAGATGTCGGTGAAGTACCAGAGTCTTCTAAACACCTAGAAGAGCAGCAATCTTCTAATGTTTAGCATATGATTTGCTCCTGTCAGATGTAAAATGATGCTAATAAGGGGAAGAGTACATTGATTTCAAAATTGAAAATAGGGAGTGAATGGGCTAAGCGTGTTGACCACCACTCCACTTATTTGGGAAGTTGCACCCCGGCGGTGCGTACCACTGAAGAGTCCCAAACTAGGACGAAACAGTTGTCCCAGGTTTTCCAATGGTTCTCTAATCTCAGCTCATGATGAAATCCTGTAACCAATCAACCAAATCCCTACAAACCAATAGTTGAATATGCATCAGCTGTGATGGACAGATTGCTGATGAAATCTCAGGATGGATAGAAAAGGCTTGTATGGGATTTGCTAACTTACGCTATCTCTGGTGTATATATGATATCCAGCTGGCTATCGATCATAGGAGATGTGTATTGCGCAACAGCTCCACCTATTCCCATTTATGGCTATAAGCAATGACCATTAGAAGTGGAAGCTATGAAAAGGCTAACTGTCTTGGATCATTGGTGTCTGTATTCCATCTCCGTGTTAGTTGATATAATAGGGTGAGTAATATTAAGATAAACTGTCGAGTGTTAGCTAAGGAGGGAATGTCAGTCGGTGAGGTTGTGAAGCTACATCGTTTGCGATGTCTAGGACTTGTGTGACATAAGGCCAGCCATCTCCTTCCTCGATGGGCAATATTATCGGACATTAGAACAGGTTGGAGACAAGGTAGTAATGGTCTAACCAAACGTGGTATCAGTGTCAATGAAATCTGTGACAGATTGTTTTGAGCCACGTAGGGAGATGTGGACTGCCAGGCCGGTTGGTGTCCTCGGTTGGTAAAAACCAATAGTTGGAGAAAATTAGTGATATATCTCAAAATCTTTGTCGTTCTTTCGAATCTTTCTCTCCCTCCCTCTCTTTTTTGTCTTTATTTGTGTGGTACATGGAGTGTGGCAACTGGAACTGACTGGTGCAATTCTGTGCCGAGTTCCCTGTTGAAATTAGTCAGTCAATCAGAATGTGAACATCAAGTCTCAGTCAATTGGTTCAGTCGACTTCCTTACCCAAAGAAATGAAATTAGTTAGCGAGAAAGTATATCAGTTCACTTATTGCGAGCAATATTTCCGTATAATAAAATCAATTTCTTACGTAATTGAGTGTTTTTCTCACTCACTAGATCCGTGTTCTTTTTTAACGTATGTTAATCATACATTGTAACTGTTATTTTTAAGTACACAAATTGTGGCAATCGATAAAACACAAAATTGTTGTGAATTCTACTCATCACTCTGTTGTAGCGCGCTTAATTAAATTCACAAAAGGTAGAAAAATTGTTCGCAAAACAAACCCTCATTTTATGTGAATACAAATTCGCATACATACGTACAAACATGTATACTTTGTGTGTCTATTGACTAGTTATTGTAGCTTTTAGAATTTCTTTTTTGTGTGAAAAAATGTTTTATCAATTAGTTGAGTGAGTTAGTGTTATTTTTTAATGAGATAGATTTCAATCTTTGTAATTCATGCGTGTGTGTGCATGCATTAGGTGCTTTTATTACATTACACATAAGGTTTGGACAATAATCAAACCGTCTACTGAAATACAACAAATTGGTTAGGTTATTCTAGTTGAGTACATTAGAATAAACATACTTTATACTGTCAACGTTTGAAGTTTCTGTGGGGAATTGGATTGACTTCCCGGGATAGGGCTGCCAGCCAGTCTCGACTGGACTGGACAGAAAACTAGTAAACTTGTGTCTCCACAGAAAACTCAGCGAAGTCTTTTGAAGTAAAGACAGGAGTAAGACAAGGTGGGCGGCTTATTATCATTGTGCGTCGGTGGCACAGCGGTTAGGACTCTCGCCGACCATGCACATGGTCCAAGGTTCTATCCTCTGCCGACGCACACCCGATATCAATGGTTGGTCTGCAAAATTGGGCTACCGATATCATATGCTGAAAATTCCATACTTGTACCAAAATACAGTGTGGAATCAAGCTATAAACAAAGAAAAAATAATATTCCTGACTGTGGTAGGCTGAATTATGCGGGAGATTGTATGGAGTAAGAATACAGGAATACATTGGATGGGTGCGCACTGATGAAGAGTCCCAAACTAGACTGATGAAATAGCTGTCCAGTACTCCCTGCTGGTTTCCCGTTGGTTCTCTAACTGATGTCAGCTCATGATGAAATCCTCCATCCAATCAAACAAAATCCCTACAAAACCAATACTTTAAAATTAATCTGATGCTCACTAGCGACTGGCCCTATTCAGGTAGGTAGTTCTAGTTCTGGGATTCTAGTGGGAAGTCGTGACCAGTAGGGTACATCAGGTTGAAGGTGGGGCAGTGACTCATCGAAACAGACATTGCTTACTGGTCGCGCTATGTCACGAATTGACAGAAGATAAAATTCATAGGTTGGTCATTGGATCGGGTCCCAGTGGCTCAATAGTTTACGAGCTCGTAAGCCTTTTAACCAGAAGGTCCTGGGTTCGTACGGTGGTGATGGGAGTGTACTGAAGAAGAGTCCTAAACTATGACGTAACAACTGTCCAGTACTCCCTACTGGTTTTCCAATGGTTCTCCAACTAATGTCAGCTCATGATGAAATCCTCCATCCAATATGTGAATTTCGCCGATGACTTATGTCTAATGTCACATAGATTCGAAGACTTACAGGCGCAAACCAACAAAATGGCAGAAGAAGATGGCAGCGCAGACATGACTTCAAGTAAACATAGAGAAGACGGAGATGATGAAGATAACCAGTCGCTTTCAATGGAAGATCTTTGAAAGAGATCACTTCTTCCACTCATCCGGCCAAACAACATCGTTTCAACTACAAGAGGACACCACGGATGATGATGTCAAAACCACCGCCTCCCCCGACGGGCATTGCTAGCTGATATAGGTGCAGGTTGGAAAAAGCCAGTGGTGGCCAAACAAAAACATGGCATCAATCCATGAAATCCTTGACAGTTAAACTGAGTCAGGGAGGGAGATGGAGACTCCGGGTTGGGGCCCTCGGGACTCTAGGAATCAATGACTGGAGACAATAGGTGACATGGCTCAAAATCGTTGTCAATGGCCAGCGCAGATGTATTCAGTCTCTGTAATCTTTCATATTCCTTTCTACCATTACCCATCTGTTTCACTCTTATACTTGTCAAACTCTATTGATTCTCTTCACTCATCTTCTTGTCTACCTCTGTGTGCTATTTGGAACGTGGCAACTCGAACTGGTACACTTCGGTGCCAAGTTCTATGTTGAATCCAGACAGAACTGAAAAGACAAGACAGAGACCTTTATCATACTGAAATCAATTTAGGAATCTGCTTCACTCCACAGCATAAAGGAAAAAAATTTGGATTTTCAAAACCAGTGTTAAGTCAATTCTTTTATTTGCGTCACGAAAAGCATTTCCAGCAACCTACTTCACACTTTTATCAGTATCTGCCTTCACTCGATACTGAAGATGAGAAGGCCAGAAAGAATTAACAACAAGAACTCATTAAATATCCCAAAGAAAATGGAGACGAGTTGGACACACGCTGAGGACAGTGTCGGATGCTATCGCTCGAGTGGAACCTGAATGCTAAACGACAGGTTGAGTATGGGTCCCAAGGATGACATGGAGGACATCGTGTGCGGAGGAGACGACAGATTATAGGCAATCAGGGGACCGCTTTGATTGAGCACCAGTAACTAGTGTGATGTGTCTAGTCCTTTCTTTGGTCCAGACTGAATTCTATCAGTCAGGTTTGCAATGTGGTCAACATTCTAGGTAGCTCACCATCACGGTGTATATTGATTGGATGATATTAGATGGTTAGAGGCAATTAGCCACAGGAAGCCTTGCCTAACGTATATTTTGTGCTAGTTGACGCTCACCAGTCAGTCAACAAGGCATATCTACAATCAGGTTGAAGGAACTCACGTCCCTTGTGAGAATCGAACCCAGTGTCATCCAGTGCTGCAGTCATGTATATCTATCCTAATGTACTATTCCTGACTGTCGTAGAGTTGGGCAGAGCGCGCTAACTACTTCTTACACTTAAGTACACGATGCAGTGTATTACAACAAGTTATAGGTATTGAAAAGCATATATGTAGAAATTTATGTGTATGTTGTATTACAATTCGCTTTAATATAGTACGTTTATAAAGAACCTGTTAAGGAAATTGAAAAGTCCATATACATCTACATAGCATTCAAATCAAATAGAATTTTGAGGACAATCTTATAATAATCGATCGATATCTCTCTCTCTCTCTTTCTCTGCCTATGTATCTTGGATGCATAGGTCAAGTCTAAATAAATTATTGTGTAGTAATTATTTTTCAGTTGAATTCTAGTTATTATTACCTTTCTTTTCTTTCTTTTTGTGTGTGTGTGTGTGTGTGTGTGTGATTATTCTGAGGTCATCAGTGTGGAGAGAGATGTGTTAATGCGTCTTAAGATGATTAATTAAATGAGATCATATGGACAAGTGAAAATTCCATAACTTGAATTTACGTCATATTCCAATTGAATCTGCTTTCAGTGGCCTACCATGCCCCACGTGGTCTTCAGGGTCCGATCCCAGGCCGACTGTCTCTTCCTAAATCTCGCTAAGCTGGTGGGAAGCCTGGCAAAGAGGGGAGGATTGAGCGTGAGGCTAGCAATCTCAGTTCGTAAAAATAAACACCATTGTTACCGTAACTTCAAAGCTCTAGCTTGAAGCCATCCTATGTTCTACTAGAAACGCAAAGGAATAAAATTTATTAAAAAAAATATGTGTATATATTATGGCTTCCAGGGATAGCCTTTATTTGTTGAAGGGATTTATTGTAAAGAGTTGATGGTTATATAGTTGGAGTGAAAAATCTAAGTTTCTACAGGACTCGAAACACACTAGTCTGAGCTGCTAATGGGCTCTCATCCATTAATCTTGTTCAAAATAGGACAAAACTGATGGACACGACCGCTAATCGAATAACATCATTTCATTTATGAGAGATATGTAAACGCCGATTTGAGTATCCTCATTCTATCAGTAATCATGGAGAATTAGCTCAGTTTGGTTAATTTACTAACCGGTAACCCGAAAGCGTGGTTGGATGATGGTACGGCTACTCAAATTAAGTGTCTAACAAACCACAAGACAAGACCTAAATGATGAAATAAAACAGATAGAAGAGGCGTTTGTGTTAAATAAATATCCTATAAAATTCATTAGAAAGATCAAAAAAAGCCAAAATAAAAATAATTGTAAAACTAGTAATGATAACATAAATAAGAGAGAATATAAGTCATCTACTGTTATACCATATAAGGAGAGGACACCTGAGCCCCTACGTAGGATTCTTAATAAAGCAGGAATTAGGGTGGCATTCAAACCTACAAACTCACTCAGAGACAAGTTCTGTAGGCTAAAAGACCCGGTGGATCCAATTAAACAAAATAATATAATTTACAAAATACCTTGCAATGACTGTGAGGTCAACTATATGGATCAAACTAGTAGATCGGGGGTAATCAGACTGTCAGAATATAAGAATTTAGCTAAGAGAAGAATGGTTGACCCCGAGAAGATAAGCAATTTAGAAAAAAGCTCAGTTATTGCACTTCAGACATTAACAAACAACCACACAATAGGATGGGAGAGGATTAAGATTCTGAGAAGTAATCTATGTAGGTGGAAAGCGAGAGAGATTGATTACTGACTCCTGCCTGGTTAATTGAGTCTACACCCAACACAACACATGTAAAAGAAATGACTCAATACAAATACCAAAAATGTGGAAGATATTATTACCACCAGTCAGTCAAATCAGACGAGGATAATAAATAAATTTAAAATTCTATTTCAATTCAGGCACATAATAACATGCTGACAAGTTACTATTTATGACTATAAAAACACTCGTCTTATTTCTCATATGATTGTCCTTGATTGATAACTCTCATATTATTATTTCTGAATGTACATTATCCCATATTGATTTTTATTCAAATGTCTAATCATGAATTCCACACATGTATATTACTGAAGGAAAAAAGTTGTGTGAGTGGTGCCTTGATATGATTATGAGCAGCAATAGTTTGTGCTCGATAGGTGGTCGCATCAGTTAATATTACTGTATAACACTGTGTGACAGTTTATCAAAATAAAATCTTATCCATAATGGAGTTACTCAAGTGTTCGTCTTAACCCTCCTCCATCACTACTTCCATTAGTTTGTGGTTGTCATTGCACATTTATTCCGCTTAACAACAGTATTGTATTTATGCACAGTTGAATAATGACATACCATATAAAGAAGTACACAGCTAAATATTTACCAGTAAGTAGTTCTGCTTCCTTAATGACAAAACAAATTGGTTGACAGTTGAAAAATACTTCCACTGATGAATCTTGTTTCATAAAATAATCGGTGACTTGTAAATAAAAAGCATGACTTGCATTATTTTATTATTATTATTATTGTCGCCTTGAGATCCATGTGGAACACAGGGCTTCAACATCACATTTCCACTCTGTCCTCCTTTTCTGTGATCCTCTTCAGCTGTACCTCTGGTTGTCTGTAATTTCTCATCTCCTCACACGATCTCCATCATGTCGCCGTCGAAGTGACGCCTCATTAGTTGGTTGTTATCTTCACCACCTCTGACTTCTCTATGCTCACTTTGAAGTCCTATCTTCGCTGCCATCTTCCCCGACAGTTTGTTGGTTTGCGCCTGTAAATTTATGTGACATTAGATATACATCATCCGAAAAATCCAGATCTTCTAGAGTCTTCTTATCGGTGGTTCAGAGTATTCTTGTCTCTTCGCACCCCCCCCCCACAGTCTGACGCATAATCGAGTCCACCACAATTAAGAATATCATCGGTGATAATATGCAGCCAACTTGTCTTACTCCTGTATTCATTTGAACACCTCACTGAGTTTTCCGTTATGGACTACCTGACACGTGGCATTGTCATATAGCCAGCTGTTGAATAAGGTTGGTAAAGACTAGAGGACCACATGGCGTAGTGTTGAAGTAGTTTCCAAATTACTTCTCGGACAACGCTGTCTGTCGAAGGCCTTTTCGAATTCGATGAAGTTGAAGTAGGTGTTTGACTGGCACTCCATTCTCTGTTTGATGGTGATGCTTGGAGTTGCTAATCCGCACATGATTTGCCTCTCCTGAATCCAGCGTTTTCCGGTGGAGTGGAGTTTTACATCTTTTTTCTCTCTCCAGGATGACGGGACTTAGTATTTTAGGTGGCGTGAACAAGAGCAGGATTCCATGCCACTTCTTGCAAAAGCCCAAATCACTCTTTTTTTGTTGGTTTGGCAAGGCAGCCTTTCTCCCTACCAAACTTTATGGAATAGTAGAGTGTGAGGATATCCGCTGCTGCCTTCCTGGACTTCAGTATCCATTAAGGGACGTAATTTATTCAGAGTGTGTTTCATATAAGCAAATGGTATGATAGTGAGAGGTTAATGGACCGGCAGATTAATAATTCTTTACGAAAGCATATGTGGGTGTACTGTCGTCATAGATTATCGTTTTACTAAATATCTCATTTTTTCGGAAAATGTATTTTATTCAAGTATTGGTTTGTAGGGATTTGGTCGATAGGTTACAGGATTTCATCATGAGCTGACATTAGTTAGAGAACCATTAGAAAACCTGGGAGAACTGGACAGCTGTTTCGTCAGCCTAGTTTGGGACTCCGCTTCATCAGTACGTGCCCCCCGGGGTTCGAGCCCAGGACCTTCTGGTTACAAGGTGAGCTGGGGAGTCGTGACCAGTAGGGTGCAGCAGGTCGGGTGTGAGGACAAATAATCGCCAAAGACATTGGCTAGCGGTTGCGCTATATCGTGAACTGGCAGTGGTTAGAATTCATGGGCCATTCGATCGGATCCTAGTGGCTTAATGGTTTACAAACTCGCTGGCCTTGTAAGCAGAAGGTCATGGGTTCAAACCCAGCTAGGGTGGGATCGTACTTCTGATGAGTCCCAAACTAGGACGAAACAGCTGTCCAGTACTCCAAGCTAGTTTTCCAATGGTTCTCTAACCAATGTCTGCTCATGTTGAAATCCTGTAACCAAATGTACTTTAGTCTGTGTTTCCTAATTTGATTCGGCTTATATGACTGTTATTATCTTCCTTTTAGGATGCTGAAGACATTATAAATTTCTTACGTAGTAATAATGCGCCACCAGGTGATATTGATTTTGTCGACTTATCCTCTGCTTCACTGCCATCATCATCTGGACCACAAACAAACAATGTAAAACCAAATAGCGGCTTGACAAGCGAACCTATTTACTCATCAGGCAGTGTTGTCCTTCCACCAAATTTTCATTGTTCTGTTTGGGCTGCAGATCATGCTAGTGCTGCAACAGGCGGTAGTGCTGGTGGTGGTGAATCATTAATCAATAAACAGTATAATCCGCCTTCTGGAGAAGCAATCATTTATGGTGAATCTGGTTCTACCTATTCTGCCTCGTATGCATCAACAACAGCGTCAACAACAAATGGTCCTACGAATGGTAGTGGCGGTGTTAGTATTAATAGTCGACGTCCTAGTGTTAGTGATCATTTTGCTGTACCAAATCCACGTCATCCTAGTCAACAATTATACGCTTCTAATGGTGGTGCAGGATTTTTCCGTAGAATTTTTTCACGGCGTAGTAGGGTAAGATAATTTTTGAATATTAAAAAATTTTTTTCCTTTTATCTTTCGAGGTTGACTTTTTATTTTATTTCATGAGGTAAAATAACAATTTGCGGCAGATTTTTGAATATCTTCAGTGGCAATTTCAACAGACGATGGAAGATAGATGTAATACTATGTTATAATATTTTGAGAGCTTTCAGTGGTGAACCTTTATGTTGTTAAAATGGTATCCTTCTATATTGTGTTATAAATCAGGGAGCATATTGTGGGAATATGCATATAACATATCAAGTTTTAAATGGCCACCTTATTCTATTGATGATAGAACGTCTAAAATATCCACGCTTTTTTGCAACTTAACCTGTAGTTTTCACGTATTAGTTTTGTAGGGATTTTGTTTGATTGGTTGGAGGATTTCATCATGAGCTGACATCATTTAGAGAACCATTGGAAAACCTGGGAGTATATGATAGCTGTTCTGTCCTAGTTTGGGACTCTTCAACAGAATGCACCCACCACCACAGTTCGGTTCCACGACCTTCCGGTTACAAGGCTAACGAGCTCCTAGACCATTGAGCCACTGGGACCCGATCTAATGGCTAATCCATGAATTCTAACTTCTACCAATTGACGACGTAGCGGGACGACTTCTCAATGTCTTCCTCGATGAGTTACTGCCTCACCTTGAATCTGGTCACTGCTTCCCCAAAAATTCCGAGTCACTGCCTAAATAGGACCAGTCGCTAGTGGGCATCAGATTAATTTTCAAATATTGGCTTTGTAGGGATTTCTCTTTGATTAGTTGGAGGATTTCATCATGAGCTGACATCAGTTAGAGTACCACTGGAAAACCATCTGGGAGTACTGGACAGCTGTTTCGTCAGCCTAGTTTGGAAGTCTTCAGAAGTAGTGCACATCCACTGCCAGGGTTCGAACCCAGGACCTTCTTGCTTTAAGGCGAGCTAGATCGTAGACCAATAAGCCATCTGGTCCCTGTAGTTAATTCATGTTTCCTGACATCTGTAAAGTTTAAATCATTTCATATAATTCACAAAGACGACGTCGTGACTAAATAATATTTAACACATTCTACTGTTTATAATAAGTGAGTTTTATTTTGCACTGTAGCCTATTAATTCATTTAGTTTGCATGAGAGTCATTCAAACCGGAAGGTGATGATTTATTGTTCCGTGTGGAAGAAATTCTCCATGACAGAAGTATAGTCAGCCAAGTGAACAACAACCAAATTGCTTCAGATGGGTTTCCGCAGATATGAACAACACTAAGTCATTCTTCTGATTTTGTTGTTTGTTGGATGAGACGCCAACACACTAATTCTAATAATGGATGATAGGGGCAATCTGAAAAAACAGTATTCCAGCTATAAAATAGGTCATTAAATAACATGATATACAATCGTTTTGAAGATTTCATGTACTAAAAATGGTATGAACTAACACTAAGAGAACCCCAATGACAAACTGGAAGACACTTCTAGGACATATAAGTGATTGCTATCCTGTAGAACTGTTTTATCTCACGTAAATTGTTTTCTGTAAAGCTGTTCAAGGTTATTTATTTGGTCGTTTGCTTGAGTCGGTAAACTTTAGTCTAGCCGGGAATTGATTAGTTACAGGCTTGGTTACGGGATGACATCAGTCAAAGAACCACCGGAAAACTAGGGTATATTGAACGACAGCTGTTTCGTTTTTAGCGTGGAACAACTATTCAACAGCGCTCACCCACCGGGGTTCGAACACAGGACTTTCCGGTGACAAAGCAAACTTATAGGCCATCCAATCACTGGGACTCCAACTTCTATCAATTCGACATAGGTATATGGTGGAACCACTAGTCATTGTCAAAGGTGTGAGTAACTGCTCTGTTATCTGACTTGGTGGACTCCACCGGTTTTCTAATTGATGTCAACTCGTGATCAACCTTGTTACTAATCCAATCCCTGCAGACCAACACTTGATAATTTGTCTAATGCTCAGTAGCGACTGACTATCCACAGGAAGTTACCTGGAGTTCTAGTGAGGAAGTTGAGTCCAGTAGGGTTCATCAAGTCGGCTAAGAGAACAGTTATTCGTCTGTGATATTGGCTGGCGGTTCTCATTTATGTCCTAAATAGTGATCACTAGTCGTCTAGGATTAAATAAATTATAATGATTGAAAGAGCTTTTACAAAACGCAGTCTTTCTGTGTTTTTGTGCTTAGAAAGTTGCACGCATCCCTTAAAAACAGCTCGTCTTACTTGTTTTACTAAGTATTTCGCTGTTTAAAGTTCTTATCAGTATCATTGAGGGAGCTACAAATATTTCATGAAAACAATTCGACAAATTAACGGAGTCACCTAGTCATTGGACATGTATGACGGATGGTTTAGATTTAATTTTTTTTAAATTTCATTCTTTCACGTTCTGACTAGAACATAAAACAAGGCAAGGCTTCAAACTTGAGCTTTGGAGTTTCTGCAACAGGAGTTTTATTTCTATGTGAGGTGGTTGCTAGCCTCACACCCAACCTTCTGTCCTTAACGGACTTATCGGGGGTTAGGAGTCTGTTGGTCGGGAGTTGAACTCTGGATCACGTGGGCACGTGGTTAGCTAACGTTATACCGCCTAACCACCCACGCAGAGATGTTCAAATTAAAATAAAATAGGTCAGGGTTGCTGTATTAGAAATTGATTCAGTGAACTCACTTGACGGTGGTTTATCTGTCAAGTGTATATAAACGTGTGTTTTTTAAACTAGTCAAAGAAAATCACCTGTATAATTAGCCTTTTGTATATTGATTTGTGGCACAGGTTTACACATTGATTGATTGTAATGACCTTGTGTATTCATTTGTCATGGTTACTAGGGTTGGTTGTGGTGGTGGTGGCGGCAGTAATGGTGGTAGACTGAAAAGTAGTTACATTTATCTCCGATATTTATAAAATACCAACCTCCTTTTATGCTAATAGAGTCTCACGGTTTTCTATTTGTGGCTGTGGCTTAACCATGTGGTCTGCTCTCTCTCTCTCTCTCCATATATATATATATATATATATATATATATATATATATATATATATATATATATATAATATATATATATATTGGGAAGTACCATCAGCCCCAACGGGCTGATCTCTGACGAAATCTCAGCACGAATACAAGGGGCTCGTTTCGCATTTGTTAGTTTACGCCGACTCTGGCGTAGACGAGATGTTCGACTATCGACCAAAGGGCGGGTGTACTGCTCATCGGTCCGCTCCATCCTCCTTTATGGTTGTGAGACCTGGCCACTCAGAGTGGAAGACATGAAAAGACTAGCTGCCTTTGATCATAGGTGCCTGCGTTCTATTTCCCGTGTAAAGTGGCATAATAAGGTGAGCAACATGGTGGTTAGGCGTAGAGTTCTAGGTAAACAGGGGAAATCAATCGACGAAGTCGTGAAGCTACATCGACTGAGATGGTTAGGACATGTGTTACGTATGCCAAGTCATCGCCTCCCTCGACGAGCTATGTTAGCGGATATAGGGTCAGGCTGGAAAAAAGCTAGCGGCGGTCAAACAAAAGCTTGGCATCAGTCAATGAAATCCACAACAGTTGGTCTTAGCCACGTAGGAAGGTGTAGACTTCCAGGCTGGGGTCCTCGGGACGGTAAAAATCTATGGTTGGAAACAATTGGTGACATGGCTCAAAATCGTTCTCAGTGGCGCAGATGCATCCACTCCCTGTGACTTATGATCTCCAATGAAACTGTTTTGTACTTCTTTATTACTCCTTTGTCTCACACCTCTGCTCACTGTCTCTATTATGCTTTTCTTGTACTTTCTTCTCTTGCTTCGCGTGCTACACGGAATGTGGCGACTTGAACTTCCGTACATTTGTGCAAAGTTCTATGTCGAAAACAGACAGACAGACAGATATATATATATAGAATGTGAATCAGGATTTCGCGTCCATTGCCATGTTTTTGGAAATGACGTAGTTGTATTCTTATTTGTCTGTGTGTGTGTGTTGTACAAGTGGTTTACTTAATTCAAGTGAAGTGGACCCAGGTACCCACCAAGATAGAAACAGTTTAAGTGGGTCCCACTTAAATACTATGTTTTATGTGTTACCGTTTTAACTAATATTGTTTCAAGAGCCTAACTATGATACATACTATGTGATTATAATCCTGCTGTTAAGTTTACGTTGTTGAAGTCGATCGGCGTGTTTATCCCTCGATAACACGTATAAACTATTTATGCACTTTGTTTTCCATCAATGTGTTCAGACGAAAACTACCCCTGACTTACGTTAACCTGGACAACTAAATAGTATCGTCAGTCATTACACGGCATTTGTGTTCCTATCCAAACTTATAAATACGAGATTAGTCTGCACCGACATCTAGTGTAAGGATAGGAAGGGAAGTGTTTAGATGTGTGACCGTTTCACTTCTTTTTTTGGAAGTTGTATTAAGTACAGTGGACTGATTACTGATGATGTAATGACAGAAGATAAGGGCTAGGCAACACATCGTTTATTGAGAAAATCAACAGATACTTATAGATTTTTATGTACATTATTGTCAGCAGAGAAGCAAGGTCTTTTTGCTTGTAACCGTTTCTCAGAAAGTTAAGCCATATATCTGCGAATCGTATTTGCACACATTAAGTCTTATGTGATTGGTTGGGGAGTTCCTCAAGTTTGAGCTTCGTTATTGTTTTTTCTCATGACCCCGATTCGGGACGTAAACATTGACGTAAATTGTTGTCTACATTTTTGGCTTGCAGACACCACAATGATACTAAAGGCTTGTTTGATATTTGTCAATTTAGCTATCTCTGGTGTAGATCTGATATAAGTCAAAAGACGATGTGAGTACTGCGCAGTAGTTCACTCTGTCCTTCTTTTTGTTTGTGAGATATATCTGTTGAGGGTGGAGGATATGAAAGGACTAGAAGTCTCTTACCATAACCATTTACATCCTATCTTTTGTGTTAAGTGGCATACTATGGTGAGTAGTGCTAAGGTT